CTTTCAGAAAGAGAAAAAAAAAAAAAAAAAGGAAGTGAGGAAGGAAGAACAAAAAGAAGACTGGTCACCAAGACTTGTGAAAACTGCCCCCCTTGTCCAGAGGGTCTCTGTGAATTTTTTGAGAGGTGAATCAAGCTGAAGACAGACTCTCCATGAACATAACCAGAATGGCAAATTTTGACCACATAAAGAACCAACGAGAAAGAAACAGGCAAACATTAGCTGGGAGGAAACACTTGGAAAGTCATGGAGCTTTTGTGGATCACTGCCTCCCTCAAGCTGGGGCAGGTGACTGCCACAGGGTGAGTAGGAGTCTTAGGGCTGCAGTTAGGAGGGCCTACAAAGCATTCACAGGGGACACAAACATCCACTCCTTGGAGTATGTGGGCAGACGGTTCACCTTCCTGGACTTTACCAAGAGTTAAAGAGGAGAAAGACAAGGAGAGAAAGGAGGGTCTCATTCTTGGCTATCCCTCAGGACTTTTCCACTAGAGTTTTGGCAGAATATTGAAAGGAGCTCAGAGGAGGCCCTGATCCAGTCACCTTGCAATACAGATGAGGACTCTTACCTCAGAGTGATGGTCACAAACCTGGGGTGGCAGAGCCGTGACTAGACCCCAGACCTCTGAGTCCTCACCCACAATACTTTTCCTCTCCTGCAGGAAGGCTACTGGGCACGTCTAGAAACAACAAAGACACAGGTACAGACTTACCAGAGCCGAGGAAGCGTCAGGAAGGAGAGTGCCTGAGATGTGTGTGTCTACATCCAGAACGGTCCATTTATAAGGCTCAGCCTGGCTCTTCCCAGGGCCTGGGAGCCCTCAGGCCCTGCATTCTCTGTGCTTCCTGGAGCCCTGCCACATAAAGGAGGTTAGGACATACCTACATCACTATCTCAGCATTTCCAGTTACTATCCAGGTGCCCCGGTGTTGCAACTCCCAAGAGACCTCACTTGCAGCCTCCTCCTGTCCTGACCTCCCTACGGGGTTGAGGCAGCCAGTGGGTGTTTCATAATGCATCAGGGAATAGGGAACACTGGTTTCTGGACCCAGACGGGATGGAAATCAGGACTCTAGAAGGCAGCGTGTTCTGTCTTTGTCCATTGCCCCTGTGTTTCTACCAACTTCTTCTAACACCTAATTAGACCACCACCGCTTCCTGATCATTTCATGTGCCCAACACCAAGAGGCCAGATGGACCTACATTTCCACTAACCCTCACAATGCAAGGAAGAAGGTGCTGTTATCACCAGTTTAGGAAAATGGAATTTGATGTGGTAACAGGGAAGCAGGGCCAGCCAATACAGTGATGATTAGACAGCTGGATTCCACATGGCCGACCAAATGGTTCAAGACACAGACCCGGCAGTTTGAATATCATGCCAGGGACATGTACATGTGTTCCCAAATCCCGAGGGGAGAATGGAGGAGAAAGGACTGTGGCACAGCCATCCTTCTGGGGGGTTGATTTCTGACTTTCTTCCTTCTTCCCTCCCCCACTGGCAAGGGCATTGCCCTATAGCAAAATCTAAAGAAAAAAAGAAAAGGAGGAGAGCAAACTTCCTAGCTTTTCCTACATTTACTCAACTAGTTAAGAGTAAAGTCAATAAATGATTAAAAAAAAAAAACACCTGATTGAAATCATTGTTTCTAGCCCATCTACTAAAAGTCCTACATCACATCATGGCCATGACCTATAAAACTCAGAGACTAGTCACAAAGTCAAGGTCTTTACAGTGCTATCGTCAGGTCATGACTTGGTTTCTGACTGAATTTTTGTGTTTGTGTCTTTCTTTCCTCACAGGAGCATAAGGATACAGATTACTTGGCCAATATCTATGAGACAAAAGGCGAAAATAAGAAATGACCCCGGAAGCAGACAGTTGTGCAAAGTCCTATCAACCCTATGACAAAGACTTCCCAAAAATCATCAACATCCTTCTCCCTTCCTTTATGCAAAACAGCAAGCCCTGGAGTCATCAGTCATGCCCTTGACTCTGAGGAGTCCAAACCTGCTGCTGAAAGGCCAGCCCGGTTATGACAACCAGGAGACTGATGTCACCTTCTGCATCCTGGAGACTCTGGACACCCTTCTGACTCAATAGACAGTTCCTTCTCTGCTCTCTGCTCCCATGAAAAAGCCTCCCATGAAGGGAAAGAAGCTGGTTCAGACTCAGGGGGTCCACCTGGCCAGCCCCACACTGAGCTGGGAAATCCCCTTCACACTGGTCCTCCTCACTCCAACCTGGCCTCCTTTTCCCAACCATGTCCACACATCCCAGAACCAGTCCTCCTTGATTTCTTCACTTAGTCCCTTCTAAGCTCTGTTGAGATGACTCCCATGTGGGACACTCAGAAACCTGCGACAGGTGATGCCTTTCACAGAGGAACTAGTGGATGAATGACACGGGGAAAGAGAGATTTCATTTCCACTTGAGGATTCTGTAGCGTTTGGGTTTTGTACATGTCAACATTCTTAAAAATACTTTTTAATGTTTATGTTTAAAATTTCCCCACTTTGATATTTACCTCATACCTGAGGCTGAGTCTTTCAAGATCCTCAACTCCTGGAATGGAAACAATAGTAATATGTTGCTAGGTCCCTCTCTTGTTTTATTATATTAGTTTATCTTTCCTCTAATCTCTACTGAGAATCCTCCTCCAAAACAGAAACAAATAGAATGTGCTATTTTCATTTCTATGTTTTCCTGCTAAATGTGAATAATTATTATGATCCATGTTTTTTTGTAGTTTTTCATTAAATACGTCAACCAGCTCTTCCGCTGCCATTTTAAATCCAGTTCCATACAATGCCCCCCGACCGCTGCTACCACGACCGCCACCATGGGGGACGTGAAAGAGGACAGCAACATAGAGGAATTCGCAGAGGGATCCAAGACCAACGCCAGCAAGAACCAGCTGGATGACGATAAAATGTTTATTGGAGGCTTGAGCTGAGATACAAGCAAGCGAGATCTGACTGAATATTTGTCTGGTTTTGGGGAAGTCGTAGACTGCACAATTAAAACAGATCCAGTCACTGGAAGATTGAGAGGATTTGGATTTATGCTTTCCAAAGATGCTGCTAATGTTGATAAGGTTTTGAAACTAGAAGAACCCAAACTGGATGGCAAGTTGATAAACCCCAAAAACACCAAAGCTTTAAAAGGGAAAGTATTTCCCAAAAAGTTTTTGTGGGTGGACTGAGCCCAGATACTTCTGAAAAAACAAATCAAAGAGTATTTTGGAGCCTTTGGAGAGATTGAAAACATTGAACTTCCCATGGATACAAAAACAAATGACAGGGAACCAGCACTTAGCGTAATGGCTATGTCGCTGGACTCCCACGTAGTCTACTGCGGTTCACGTCCCAGACCTGGTGACTTAAAACTCACGCCGGGCGCGTGTGCGTGTGTGCCCAAGATCCCGAGAGGAAAATGGAGGAGAAGGGATTGCGGCGTGACCATCCCCTCTGGGGGGTGATTTCTCGCTTTCTGTCAATCTGTCTGTCTGGCAAGCGCAGGCACCCTATAGCGAAAACCTCTCAAAAATAAACAAACAAACAAACAAATGACAGAAGAGGATTTTGTTTTACCACATATACAGATGAAGAACCAGTAAAGAAATTATTAGAAAGAAGATACCATCAGATTGGTTCTGGGAAGTGGGAAATCAAGGTTGCACAACCCAAAGAGGTATACTGGCAACAGCAACAATAACAAAAAGGAGGAAGAGCTGCTGCGGCTCGTGGAAGAGGTGGTACTTAGGGGTCGTGACCGAAGTCAGGGCCAGAACTGGAACCAGGGATTTAATAACTATTATGATCAAGAATATGGAAATTACAATAGTGCCTATAACTATAGTGGCTATGGCGGATAGGATTATCCTGGGTATAACTATGGGAACTGTGGATATAGACAGGAATATGCAGACTACGTGGCCAACAGAGTACTTATGGCAAGGCATCTCCAGGGGGTGGCAGTCACCAAAACAATACCAGCCATACTAAAGGAGGACATTGGAGAAAACAGGAGGAGGTGTTAAAGTCACCCATCTTGCAGGATGGCATTGAAGATTGTCTTCTGTAGATCTAAGATGATTATTTTGTAAAAAACTTTATAGTGTACAAGACACAACTGTGTCCAACTGTATATAGCCACTAATTAGTTTTCCTTGTTTTTACTTTGTCCCTTGTTGTCTGTGTTATGACTCAATGTGGATTTTGTGTTTATGCAAATTTTATTTGTATGATTTCATGTTAAACCTCAAACGAATGCTTCCTTATGTGATTGTTTTTCTGCATCAGGTACTACATCGCTCTGTAAAAAAATGTAACCTTAAATAAACAATTTAATTGATAATTAAAATAATAAATTGAGGCAGAGTTTATTTTGTAGGGAGTATTGGTCCACAGGGAGAAACTGCACTCCTTTATAAATAGCCAGCCATGGTGTTTACCCTACTATCCATTTTGGTAGATGTACTCTATGTGTTAAGGCCTTGTCTCCTTGCTAACTCAGGCTACCACCACACTTTGATGTTCTTTCCCTTCTGGATATCTAGAGACTTTGTCATGAAACTAGACCATAATATTGTGATCGGTGGAAGCTTTCTAGTAGACTATGTGATCTTTTGGATTATTTTTTAAGAAAAATCATTTTTAACAACATCATGGTAGCATATTTTGCTTTCTTACTATTTCTGGTAAGCCATTTATGATTTGCTCATTGTTTTCAGAGTAAATGTGGTCTGCTAGAAAAAGCTTTCTCTGATAACATGAGTTTAATTGTCTTGGTAAAAATCTTCAGATAAAAGAGTACTGTAAAGCTGTGTGGTAGGAGCTAATGGTTTAAGAGCATTGAAAATATTTACAAGGATTTTCGCAGATAAGTATTGGATTAAATGAGCTAGTGACAATAATTTAGTTGCATTCTTTTGATATGTCACAGCCATCATCAGACTGAACAAAGTGGTTCGTATATGGACATTAGGCTGTAGAGTTCTGTGGTGTGAATTAGAAACACTCATAACTGACCTCATGTTTAACGCACTTAGTGCTTGAGCTGAATAGTTAAGCATTTCTCTATTCAGACATAGGAAGGAATAGTGGACAAGATATTCTTGAGTCTTATGTGTATAAATGTTGATTTAAATGTGACTAAGTCATGTCCTTTTAGCACATCTGATGCATTGAAAGGTCAACTTATGTCTCTTTTTTTTTTTTTTTTTGAGAGATTTTCACTGTAGGGCGCGTGCGCTCGCCAGACAGACAGAGAGAGACATAGAGACAGAAAGCGAGAAATCACCCCCCAGGGGGGATGGTCACGCCGCAATCCCTTCTCCTCCATTCTCCTCTCGGGATCTTGGGCACACACGCACATGCGCCCGGCGTGAGTTTTAAGCCACCAGGTCCGGGACACGAACCGCAGTCGACTACGTGGGAGTCCAGCGACATAGCCATTACGCTAACTGCTGGTTCCCAACTTATGTCTCTTTTAGAGGACTTACTCCAACTTCGAGTTTTTTATTAAGTGTAGTTGGATTTAGGGAAGTTGCTTTCTGTTGGTCCAAGTTAGCTGCTGGGATTGGCATAGGCTTTAAGACTGTAAGTTGCTTAATGCTAATGAACCTGCTTGCTTTTCTTTTTTTCTTTTCTTTTCTTTTTTTTTTTTTTTTTTTTTTTTTGTGTGTGCCTGTAACTGTTCCAATGATGTTTGTGTACTTGCTGAGCTATCAAGTAACAATGTTCTTGGCCTTGTTTGGCTCCTGTTTTGCTATGTGATGTACACCTAGGCCAAGTACCAGTGTTGGCTATTGCAAGGGATTGTTTATTCTTCCAGTATGCAA